CAGAGTCTCAGACTTTAGAACTTCAGAATTACCGAGTCTGAGTCGCTGAAAAGAATACTTACTGTGAGCGTTGTGAATTTGTCAGTTGTGACCCTATTGCAGGAGGGGCAAGCTGATGGTCTGGCCCCAAAAAAGGCTTGACTCACATACGGCCCAAATGAAATCTGGATATATAACGAGGCAGACATGTTTTAAAAAAAAGAGGTGGACATATCTATTTTTTAAGATGTATATATGGTGCACACAATGAGAAACCGGGGTCTTCCGGACCCCTATGTTCAGGAGTATGGGACACCTCGAAAATACTACTCAAATCGGGTTTTCTCAACGGATTTGGGCTTATCTCATCCTCCTAAAAAAGATGAGCAATATTTAAAATTAAAAAAATGATTTGGCCATACACCCAAAATCGAGCTTTTTGAGGCTAACGAATGTGTTGCAATAACGATAGAGCTTCAAACTCTTCGGATTTGGACTCCCTACCAGGAATTCATCCTGGACAACAATTCTCAGAATATTCTGACGGTCAATATTCGAAGCAGAATTCTCAAATAAAGCTATATTCAGCTTGATATTTTGAAATTTGGCCAAGGTGGTGACCCAGATTTCTGGGTCACGAAATCAAATGCTTTGGGCCAGAATTTTCCAAAAAAAAAAAGATATCGGTTGGTTCAAAAGTTATGAACGTTCAAAACCTGACCGGAAGGTTATCGGCGTTATAGTCGCGATAATTCTCTTTATACTCACTGTCGCGCTCGTATTTTAGCCACCATCACTCGCGGCTGATTGGTGGAGGCTAACCCCGGTTTCTCAATGTGTGCGCCATATGACTGTTGAGACGTTCCCTCGTCTCTCGTTTTTAGAAACAATAATATATGTACATATGTATGTAGGCTTATTTAGCACATATTTTTTTTAAATTACCTTGAAAATACTGTGCATTTTTGTTTTGTTTTATTTTTAAAAACAATATAAAATGCAGAAAGATGCTGTGAAATATCAGATTTGCTTTCGCTTTTTTAAAATTCTCCTCTCTTTACTCTTAACCGTTCATCACCTTTAGCTTTCTGCATCACTCCGTCAATATAAAAAAATCGGTTTGTTTTTTTTGTAAACAAACTACTACATAGAGGTCTATTTAATTTATCTCGGAAAGCGTAAGCTGGAAGTCCCTGACTCCCTGTCGCCTTTATGCCGATTTTTGCCTGATCACGGAATGTCTTTATACGGCACTGATGACAATAAAATTATTAGCCACCTCATGCCCAGTTTCCTACCAGTCTCATACTCGAACTTTTTCGAGTTTAATTTGCTTAAATATAGGTGTATTAATGTAATTTGCTTAAATATAGGTGTATTAATGTAACTAGCGTGATTTTGAGCACTTGTGAGATGTGTTTGTTTTCTGCCGGTTTGTTTGTTATCTGTCGGCTGAAAGAGCTCGATTTAAATGTTAGGTATTGTAGCGCGGATACAACCCATTTGTTGCACTTATGTTAGGTCCTTGTCGGTCTTAAGGGCTTGACATATGTTAGCAGTTAGACACATGTATATAGGCGTCCTCTGTCTTAGCTATTGCTTCGGATTCGCCCATGGTTTTACAGTTGACACTATTCGTGTCTAACATACGTCGACCTCTCCTCTGAGGCCGACAAAGAACTAATACAACCAGTGCAATAAATGGGCTAAAATCACGCTAATTACATCTTAAAAAAGAAATGTAAACTCGAAAAAATATTGTAAGTATGAGACTGGCAGAAAACTGGGCTTGAAGTGGTTAATAATTTTATTGTCACCGGTGCCGTATAATGACATTCTATGTCAAACTCTTTAACCCATTTGCAGACCCCGGTAGGGTCCCTCGGCGGCTCGGCTTCCTGTGCCCCAGAGTGATCCTAAATGGATTTTTTTTAAATAATAATAATAAAAGCATCCATTTGTTTTTTTTTAAACAAAATAGAGCGTACTTTTGGGGTTAATTTTTGGGGTTTTGAACGAAAAGACGAAGTGTGTGAGTGAATTGTGTGAGTGAGAGAATGATTACGTGAGTGGGTGTGAGACTGTGAGTGAGTGAGCGCGTGTGACTGTGTGGGTGAGTGTGTGGGTGAGTGTGTTTATGTTTGAGTGTGTGTGACTGTCACGACTGAGCAACACTATTAGTGTGTGTGTGACTGTGTGTTGACTGTTGAGTGAAAGTGAGGAATAAAGGGGCGGGGGGGAGGTCTGGGGGGGGTTGGGGTTTCCTGAAGAAATTATCTCCCTGCCCTGCGCGGATTTATTCACTAGTTATCAACTACACTCTTTGATTGAACGCTTTCAGTCCCCGCGGCGCCCCAGCTGTGTTTATAAATTTAGCTTACTTCATTTACGTTTGAATTGTTGTGATAAATTTACGTTTGTGTTTTTATTTGAGATCTGATGTGTATATTTTCAAATTTGAGCCTGTGCAATATATACGAGCTATTTCATCATATAGTCCTATTATTAATCATAATAGGTCAAGTTATATTTGTCCAATAAACGCTTATATTGAACCTATAATCGGAATTACCTACAATATGAAATACAATCGAAAATATGTAAATACTAAAAAAAATACACGACACACGACTGACGACACTTATTAAAAAATGCAGTTGATGTCACTTAACTCACTTGATGAGTTGAAGACTTGAAGTCCAATAAATAGTCTGCGACTCTTTTGGGGTATGTACTGTAGGATTTATCAAATATTTGACAATTTTATCCAATAATAATTAGTTTTGATTTTTTTTTATAACTATTAGGTGTACATTTCAATAAAACAATTAAACGAACACCCCCACATTTCCGTAATTCACTCTTCTTTTTTTACATAAATTATTTTTAAGAAATATATGTATGTACTGTACTCTGGTCTGTACCGTGTAGAGAATTAGAGATTAGTCTTAGAGAGCTAAATATAATAGAGATTAGAGAGAACAATCAATTTTACAATAACAACGATAATAAAACGAAAACAAGTCAGACTGTTTATTTAAATAAAAAAGAATATAGTGACTCTTCTTACCTGAGAGTCTCAAGGCTTAGTCGCGCTGTCGCCTGTCGGCCTGTCGCCTCTCGCCTGTGGCACTCTTCTGGTTACTCCTAGAGTAGAGGCTGCTGGCTGTTGGACAACAGGACAAGGGTTAACATGCAACAACAAGAGTAAAGAGAGTAGTGATGAGTGATTGTCAGCTTTTGTTTTTAAAGAATTGTAAATATCTTCCCAGTTTTTAGGTTTTTAGGGCCACAGGCCCACTACCCACACTGCGAGGGCCGACAACTACGGGCTACGGTCTCACGGCCAACGACAGCCCCGTGGTGCCACGGTCCACAACTGCACGCCGTGAACGGAGGACTAAATTAGTAAAAGGCCAAAGGACAGTACTGAGCATTGAGGATACAGGACTGAGGACTATAAGGTCTATAACTCTGACACGTGCATTGAGGTCCGAGAGAATGAGAGACTTAAGCCCTCGGACCTCAGCCCTGGGCCTGAGGAGTGGGCCCTAGGAGTGAGCCTGAGGAGTCGGACGACTCGGACTACCAGTAAGTGTGACCAGGCCCCAGCCCCAGGCCCACTACTAGTAGGGCCCCAGTCAGCCGAAATAGTCTGCCCCTATGGCTCCAGCCTGCCCCCGGGGCCCAGCCGCCCAGGTCTCAGGTTGTACTTTTTTTTTTGTAGACAAAACACAGCCAACACATGAAGGCAAGTGCCAAAAGGCAAGTGCCAAGTGGCAACTGCCAGAGTGTCAGTCTGCCTTAGTGCCTTGGATATTGACTATGTATTGGATATCAAATTACCAATATGGCTCCACGGCCCAAAAAAACTTATCCCAAGCTAAAAGAGTAGAGCGGCTGCCCGTTGCCACTGACCGTCTCACCGAGACCCAGCCACCGACCGCAGTCCGCAGTGCAATCTACAAAGGAGTCAATAAAAAAAGATCATCAAATATTTCGTAAATATATTCATACTTTTTTTTTAAACAGCTATTAGCAAATGTATGAGACTCTGATGTCTCCAACTCTCCATTGTGCACTCGACACATTCTGTCTTTCTGACGATTTACTCGGATTCTGTCGCGTTTTTATCCCCATGAGGTATGCATAGAACTATTGATAACCTATAATATTGATTCATCAGTTATTATGCACTTCAGCGTTCAACAGTGTCGATGAGTCAAGTCTGTCAAGACTCAAGACTCAAGACTAATTAAAAAAGCAGTAAATACACAACTCAACAAGAGAGAGAGAGAGAGAGAGAGAGAGAGCAAGTCTATTCGACACCTGATTTCCGTTGTATTGTTTCCTTTTTTACATATTTACGTGCAGAAGACAGAATACTTGCTATGTAAATATGTTTATCTATTTATTTAAAAAAAACCCATTTTGTGTTCTCTCGCATTAGATATACGAGAACACGCCACGGGCCCACGGCCCTGGTCTATATGGCTCCGTGGGCCATAGCCCCCCCATGGCAACGATACTGAGCTGCATTGATGAGGTTCGCCGTTCGGCATTTGCAACACATCTTTATTGTCTCACAGAGTGAGACAATAGAGTCTGGACTCTCTGAGAGTGATGAGAGTCTCAGAGACTCTCTCGAGAGAGAGCGAGAAGGAAGTCGGAGAACTCTAAACTCTCTCTACTATTTACTAGAAGTGATTACTAGTAGTGAGTAGTTTTAAAAAAAGCGATATTCACAAACTCCGCTACGGCCTTCGTGTTCAGTTGACTTGCAACATGCAGCCGAGAAATGCGCAAGGCATACGTATATAAACAATCACTTTTCTAGAGGAAGCGCTACTATTTCATCGTAAAGACGTATTTAAAAAAGACAATCACAACCTCAGTATATTATGTACGGTTCACTTATCCTGTCGGCAGTCTCTGCCTTGCAGCTGTTTTCTATTGTCCAGGCAAATCCTGCCACTCGTGTGACTCGTGCCACCGGCTGTGGCAGCCGAACGACACCCAAAATGCCCACTCCACGAGTTGGTGCTAGTTGGGTTAACAGGGCCTGGACCGATGGCTCTGGCCTGAATAAGATCAGCAGTGATGATGAAGTAGTTCTCGTTGACCCTGCAGATATAAGTAAAGAGGACATGGACGAGCTACATGCTGCCGGACACTATCTGTTATGTTATAACAATGCCGGTGCGTGGGAGTCGTGGCGGGCTGACGCGGATGAGTTCCCGTTAGAACTCCGTGCAAGGAAATTGGCAGGCTGGGATAATGAATACTGGTGGAATATCATAGAGTGGGATGATTCAGAGTTGAAGAATGCACACATCAAGCGTATGAAGTGGATGTGGGAGAAGGGATGCGACGGTTTGGAACTCGACAATTTGGACTGTAGATCGTGTGTTGATGGAGAATCGAAAACAGATCTACGAGCGAAAGCTGTGGAAAACGTTCGATGGCTCGCACAAGAATCGAACCGGCAGTGCATGGACGCGTCTATGAAGAACTCTATAGATATATTTGCTGACGTTGCGGAGCACTTCCAAATGGCTGTCAATGAACAATGCGAGGAATACAATGAGTGTTCGTCTTATATAGATTATTTCATAGACCTTGGTAAACCCGTTTTTGCAGTTGAGTACACCAAAAGCTGGAGCGAGGCTGATTGCTCATTTGCCAATAACAACGGCATTTCCCGGAAGTACTTTGACGAAAGCAGCAAATACCAAGATTGCTAGTGAACACGCAGACGACAACAACGAACATGTAACTCGAGATCGAATGCAGCATGTAAAGTGAATCATGCGACAAAAGGGTGTCAGCTTCTCATATGATTTCCGCCACTATATACATACAGGAGTCAGCAGTAATCAACGCAGTGCGTTCGAGGTGGCACCACACAAATTTAGTAAATAGTACAAATCCTAGTTGTATATGATGTATCTTCGATGTATGAAGTACCTCTTTCGTTCTCACTTTGAGAAGAGGACATCTGAGTTGCATACACTTTTCATTTGTATTCACATGATTGCAATAAAATTTGTACCACATTTAGTTTTTTACTAGAGCACAATCATCAGTGAGATGCGTATATTATATATGTTATATATATATATATATATATTATATATAGCTGTATATATATATATATATATAGTGTGTGTGTGTGAATATGTGTAAATATATACTCGCATATGTATGTGTAAATATACACCTGCAAATGTATGTGCAAATATACACCTGCATATATATGTTGTGTGTATATGAATAAACCAACGCTGAGCCTCTTTAAGCATATAGGATATTGTGTAAGATACCAAACGTCAAAGTTAATATTATGCATTTAGGTTTTTAGCCACCATACATAAATGCGCACGCCTGACACCCGTTTGGCTGCCTTGATGACACATACTGAGTGCTGTGATGAGACACAACCACAGGGTAACTGAGCTTAAATATTGTTTGTGGAATTACATTCGGCTATACAATATACAACATTAACTATGCTGGCTCCAATATTGTAGGGCAGCAAGACTTCCATATCATAAAGACCAAGCGTGTCGTGACCAGGATCATTGAACACAAAACAAAGCCCCAAAACAACCATGCACCTGTTTTTACGAACTTTAATTCTCCCAATTGTTTTCGGTGTATGAATTCATGTGCTGTAATCCAGTGAATATCATGTCTGATTATGTTTGCGTCATTCTCTGAGTTTAAGTTCCTTATTTCTCTGCGCCAGAAGGCCAGAGAGCTCGCTGAGTGGCCGATTGTGTTATTCGTTGCACGTGCACGTCCTGTGTGTGGTATACACACACTCTTAGAATGGTAGCAGGGCAGGTTGATCTTTGCAACGAGGGCTCGTAATCTAGTCCCGTATCCAGATATGTTATGCATGATTTTCCCAGTCATGACAATACTCGCATACGCATTCGATGTCATATATTCTATCGTCGTAGCGTCAGAATAGACACGGTCAGTTGTATTAAGTAGTGGCCGAGGTAAAACCTGCAATGAACGAGTCTCCGGGTTTGGCTCGGCGGTGCGTGGTGCCTGCAAAAGCATAGCAAGGAAAGTGGTTCAGTACAAGAAGTAAGCCTGCTGTTGGGAGGCTCGTGTGTATGGAAGGGTGTACATTAGAGGGGGTTTAATCCCTTGCCAATGATACGTCTCTGGTAATACGGAACGCTTGCACATAACATGCCGGTAGGAACTGCGCCTACTGTGGATAACATTGGTACAAACCGACTGCACAATGATCAGACGTTGGACGGGAACCTGCACGGATATACAAACATACTAGCAGCTGATCAGACGCCAATACAACACGGAGTACGTTTAGATGTCACACAAACTTGCAATGCGTGAACGTACCTAATAGCTTTGGTACAACTGGGCGCAGAGCTGTAGTGCACATAACGTAGATGAACAGGAAGGAAGCTTCACGGTAGTCTTCTCCATCCAATCCCCTGTGTGTGATGTCTGTATGGAGGCAGAAACACTAGACGTTGATGAACCACTCAAAAAAGTATCGAACTTTACCCGCATAGTGAAAAGCCAGGAATAATAGGCAGTCGTCTTCGCGACAGTACGCCCCCTCACACCCCCGCCTATAAGTACTCTGTGCTATGGTGCCTATATAAAGGGCAGTATTCTGAACCTTACAGATTTATATTTTATTCCCAAATTCGCACGTCTATATACCTAATACTGAAAATTACAGCACATGTGGTCAATGAGCAATAAAGAAGAGTGTCTGCGATATCTGTATGGAAGCTAGCGAATTGACATATGATGTATGTGTACCGGTACTAAACATCTCCGGGTCGACTTCAGGATAAACACACTACTTTAACAAACGGTGCATACAAGCGAATTCATGACGAGGGATGCACATGTGCATGGGTACATACTCTGCGCCAGGCTAAACGGCATGAACGGCAACTTTGCAAAGACAATTCCCCCAAAGGTATTGTTAACCGACGACATGACGGATATGAACACCACAGCTTGTGCGAACATGGCAAACATCTTCATCCTATTGAGCCGTCCCGTTGCATCTGAGATCTTGGTTTCCAGAAACGGAATTTTCTTATTCTTAACATTGTTGATATCGCCGTGTTTTCTACGGTGCTGATAAGAGTGAAAACCCGAAAAGAAGTATGAGAAGTGAGGAGGTGACAGCAGAAACACATGGATCACAAACTACGTTTGAAATTGTGACAGTAAATCTAGAGGATATAGCGATGTTATGGCTATAGGTGGCAATACGTGTTGACTATGAATGAAGGAAAACGATATGGCGCCAATGATACTGATTCTACTTTATATCTATATAT